TTTCCCTGATTTCTGGTTTCTTATTTTGATTTTTACTTTTTGTTGTTGAATTCTCCACCTATACCCTTTTTTGGTATCACCATTGGCCCACACAAACGGAATCCCATGGAAATTGATGTCTTTCTTATGTTAGATTTACTGGCACTACCATGACTCCACTAACTCCATAGAGAAAAAAAAAGCTATTAAATGTCATATGACCATTACTTAATAAATAGGCATCTTCAACAACTACTTTTACAAAATGTTAATAATTTCATCGCCTAGTTATAAAATTTAGGTCGCAAATCAACTTAGATTAATTATTTTCATCTCTCTCTCTAGCATTTAAATGCTAATAACTTGGCAAATCAAAAAAAAAATATTTGAATTCAACCCTAAACTTGGACCAAGAAACGACATACTAGGTTGCTCATTGCTTGGTTCAATTACGTAATGTCCTTCCAAATGCTCAACTTCTAAGCCGAGTATCGAAGTCTTCTCCCACAATTCAAACCCTTAGAGATGGGACATCAATTTATTATTTCAACTACTTGGCCATAAGATAAGAATCTGATGTTTCTAGTTTTTCTTCTTTACAAAACCCTCAGTGTAATAGATCATTACCAACAGTCAACATTGTTAGGCCAAAAAGAGAGTTGGACTAAACTGAAAAGGACCTAATTCAAGCTTGAGCTCATTTGGTGGAACCCTACTTTAACTCAACTCAACCTGGATTCGAGCATATATGATGGTCTGCAATCTCAGCTCATACAAATTCATGTAGCTTATGCTCATTTTGAGCTCAACCCAACTCATCTTATGACTAATGAACTACTATCAAACAACTTGTTCACCAAACAAACTAGCATTTCAAGCAAATAAATGAGCAAACTCTTATTGAGCATCTTGTTGGATAAACAAGAACGCCTATAAAGGTTCAGAGTATATAGAGCTTATGACTAAGACTTTATCTAAACACACTTTTAAAAAGAGCTCAAATTAATATCCAATAGGACAAAGAAACACCATAATGAGCATGAAGAAAGAGCTTCTTTTCAAAAATAAAGGTTGGCTAAAAGAGTTCAAATATTAACTTAAATCATATAAATTAGCTGGCTTATAAACAAACATATATACCTAAATGAGCACCAAATAAATTTTACCTTGTTCATAGCAAATTTAATCTTCTCAATGAATCAATTAGCTTCTCATACAAAAAAATTACATCTACAATCAACAACATAGAATTCTTTTACCATTACAAAAAACAAGCTACTGAAAATATTAACTTTTGCTAGTAATTATGCATATAGTTAAAGATGGCTTTTTAGTGGCATTTAGGGTTTTGTCAACTGAAATAATTCTTTCTAGAGAAGTGCAAGTGTAGTCTTTGCAAAAAATTTTTTATTCAAAGCCCTTGCATATAATTGGTATAGATAATTGGAGACGCTAAGACAATGGTATTTTTTGTACTGTCCAATGTAAATAGGTAGATAAAATGATTATTTTAATTAACAAAATTGAGGCAAACGACTTAGTTTTTGCTAGAAATGGATGTGGAGTTTTTCTATACACTACAACTGAAATTATCAGTTGGGTACACCTAGTCAATAATGCAGCTTACAGATCTGCATTATCCATACTTCTGAGTGTTTTTTAGAGCATCAACTGGCAAGCACAATTAATTTATGGTTACTTTTGTTCTGTTTTTACCCTCTTTCTGAATTCTACAAACTTTTGGTGCCCAAAATAAGTTTATAGTGACGCGGAAGAACCTAGTTTGTGTACCTGAAAGATTGTTAGAAATCAAACTAACAAAAATTAAAAGAAAAAAAAAAAACATCTGACATGTGCAGATTATATGCTTTATAAACAAACTCATGAAGAGACAAATTGTCCAAGGACTGACAAAGAAAACCATTTTGAAAGACGAATAGGACCCGGAACATTAATAAGAGGCTGTTTGTTAGCAGAATTTAACCTAAATCCTTCCAAACAGCAAAAAATGACATCTTTAATCCGGTTTTCCTCCGTTTCGTCTTAAACCCAGGATTTAGTAAATATCATTCGAAGACGGATTAACGGTATTTAGAAGAGCTGAAGCGCGCGAAGGTGGGCCGGGAAGGGGAAGACAGACAAGGGTTACCTTTCACAATGGTTTCGAGTAAGAGCGGAGAGGAATGAATAGAAAGATGGGAGTTTCGGAGGTCCTTGTACGCCGCGATTCCTTCGTTCTAGCCTAATCGCGACTGTATCGCGAGGTTTCGGGTTTATGGCAGTCACGAAGGCGATGGTTTTGTGCGAAACCTGGAGAGAGAGGGTAGGCGAGGGTTTCGGGTTTATGGCAGGAAGGGGAGATGATGAACCCTTGTGGAAATTTGATATTTCCTTTGTTGATTTTTGTTAATTTTATTAATTAATTAATATTTTATCAAATTAATTATGATTAAATAGATTTATACATAACTATTTAATAATTAATTAATTAAAATATAATTTTCATAATAATATTCATTAATTTAAGGAAATTCTAATTAATTTAGTAAAGTATTAATTTTTTAATAAATAATTTATTTATTAAAATTCTTAGTTATAATTAATTAGTTCAATAAATACTCAATTATTAATTAGCATAATTATAAAAAAAAATTAAATAAAATTTATTTATATAATTAACTTGTAATATTTAATTGAAATTTTAAACTTGTAATATTTAATTCACATTTTAACCAACGAAATAAGTTCATAAACATTTACATGTGATTTAACCAAATTTAAGATTTATTATTCTAAAAATAATTTTAGATTTAAATGCAACTTTATAGATTTTCTAAATCCTAATTAAGTTAAATGCAACACAAATCTAAATTTTACATAATTCTAAATCTCATTTATCCCTCATTTTATCTTAAATCCTTGATTTAGTAACTCGACAATGGATTAACTCACATCTAGTTACCTCATAAACTCTTCTCCTTCAAACCTAGTTGGTCCCATCGATGCCTCCTCTAGCGAGCTCCCATAGCAGCTTATGGCTAGGTGTTTGATCAAAGATTTCAGGGAAATTTATATATATACTACATAGTTTTTATGTATTTACATGTTTAACACTGAAATTTTTGTTGTTAAAACTTAAGCATGAAAAGTTTAATCACTTTCAAAAAGTTAAAAATGGAGCTTTTTTTTTTATAAAGTTGTATGTAAATATGAAAATAAAGGTTTTATATTTGTCAATGTATAAGAATTGAGTGCCTAAATGTTTTAAGATTTTAATAAATCATTATAAATAATATTAATTAATTAATATTTTATTAATTTTAAAAAATCATATTATTTATGATTTATTTCAATAAATAAAATTATCATATTAAATTAATGAATTATTAATTTTTTTATTTATATAATTATCAAATCCTAATTGTTGTATTTTTAGAAATTACTTATTAAAATTGTTAATAATCATTCAAATGAACTTGATACAAATATGTTAATTAAAATATTAAAGTAAATTAAATAATTAATATTAATTCATTAAGAAATATTAACTAAATAAATAAGTCTTATTTGTAATTTAACTTGACTAAATAGAAGTTCATTAGTTTCCATAGCCTATAAATTATAAATTAATACATAATTAGGTGTTATTTATGCTAATTTTGACAAATTTAAAACAACTAAAATTTTTTTTATAAAAAAAATAAAAAGATTTTTCATAATCCTCTAGGGAAATTATATATCTACACATTGTATGCCTTCATATAAGGCCACCTATAAGAGATTTAAGAAGGCAAAAGAATAGCATTGAATGATAACTTATAATCAATAATCACATCTATATGTTCTCACACCCCTACAAAAATTGAACTCACAAAATGTAATTTAAAGAACATTTCTCTTGCATCTATAGCAAATTCAATTCCAACCTTCTATAAAATATTCACATATAAATGCTTTAACTTAGATCACAACTACTCATAAGTTCACATTCACTAAAAACAACAGAAATTTACATGCAGAGCACCCAATTCTTATGCATTTACGTATCACAAACTCAAACTCTCATTTTTACATACATACCACTCAAAACATTTTAATTTACATATTTAAATCGAGACTCTTATATTTACATTTATAACACCATTAACATACACTAAACTATTTAAAAAAAAAAAAAAAAAACTGTCTCGATTCATCCGGAAAGGTGCAACGGAAGGGTTAATTTTTCCCTCGGGACTCCGGACGGTTCTCTACGTCCGCAGTCCATTTAAATTCGGCCATGCGGTCCCGCATTTCCACGTAATAAAAAATAATAATAATAATAATGTCGCGCCTTTTCAATTGTCCAGCCTTTTAGAATGTCGAGGAATACGTTTTGAAAATACATCAGCGCGATGTTATTTTAAAAAAAAAATTTTTTTATTACGTGGAACGTGGCCGAATTTATATTCTATGTTTATCCAGGCAACAAAAAATAGGAGTGTACGTTATTTTTTAAATTTTTTTTTTATTACGTGAAACGTGGCCGAATTTGTAATCTATGTTTATCCAGGCAACAAAAAATAGGAGTGTATTTCATCAGATCAACAACAGGCCCTAGCGGATGCATTAATAACCAAGCAAAGAGCTCTTACATCCGCAAAAATTTTACATCCCGACTCCGGATGTTAAAATACATCCGGAGTTCAATGGTACGGCGTCACGTGACAACTGAGCCCCACAAAATTCAACATTGAACATGCCCAACGTATTAAAGGGGCCCATTTGCCACATGACGCCCCACCATTGAACTCCGGATGCATTTTAACGTTCGGAGTTCGGATGTAAATGATTCTCCTTACATGCATAACATTTGAAACGTTGCTATTTATAAAACTATCTAGCCCCTTCTTTCATATATTTTTCAAATTCTCACAGAAATATTCATGATAAAACACCAACCCATATTTTTCATTTTTATAAAAATATCAATGATTTGATGGCGGCACGTGAAAATACATCAGATTTATAATTCAAAAATATAAGATTTTATGAAAAACAATGTTTAGGGCGCCATGCACATAGAGATATCATAAATTGTTCAACAATTACAACTACACAGCCGCACATAGAGACATCATAAAGAAAAGCTACAAAAATTAGGCTTCAAATTGCATCAAAAGCATCCGTAAGAAAGAAATGCAAGAAGAAAAAAAATAGGACATAACAGTCGCCAGATTTGAGGAGCAAAGCCAATGGCTGCGTCTAAGCAATTCTTCACTATGCTCAGGACTGGCTTGCGGTCTTCCAACTTTAGCCAAAGGCTATCAGGTTATAACACTGCATAAAACATGTTTTTGAATCATTAATGTGGAATGATAACTATATTGCAGGCAATAATATTTTATTGTTTTGAATTATTATTTGGGTTTACTTGAGCTACTCCTAATGGAACTTTTACATTCAGATGTTATCACTTGACAATATTGCCAGCACATGAAGCATTATCCCAAGAACTCATTAAATTCATATCATATGCTTTAATAAACCATGTTAATTGATTTAATTAAGCTATTATTAGAAATAGTTGAAATTTAAATCAAAAAATTAATCAACCTTTTTACATATGGCACAAATAATATACCATATTATCCTTCTAGATCATGCACATACGTATGTCAGTACATAGTACACGTACAAACATACATATATATTACACATACACACACACATACATAAAAGTAAAGCAGTGTCTAGAATTTCTAATGAGTAGGTTCCACACTAATCCTCTAGGATAGCCAACAGGAAAGTCCTATGGCTAGATCCTAGACTTCTAGGAAAGAAAGAAAGATTAAACCTGAACAAAAAGTGAGGTCAACAAATGGACCCCCAATAGGTGTGATGTGCCGGATGAGCACACCGCATGTATTGGCGTTGACCAAAAAGATCCACAAAACCAACATAACTGCCGAAACCAACATGCTTAGAGCAGAATAGAGAAAGAGTGAAGAAAGTTCCCGCTAGGGACATATATGTAAGTACATAGTACACAAACATATGTAATACAAACATACAGCAGAAGTGAATGTGAGCAGTCAGACAAACAGACACATACATACAATAGACATTGCATGGTATGTAAATCTCCCTTAAAAAATACAAATGGGATGCAACACATGGTAACTTAGCAACCCATATCCAATAAGGGGATGTATTCAAGAATTACTTTATCTAGAAAGTATTTCTAAGACATAAAAAACCCCTATAAAACTTATCCTTACTTTAAAGAAGAATGAGTTGAACTTACAGCTTAAAATAAATCCCTGGAGCAGGCTTTGAGCTCTCTCAGCCTGCTCCGGAGTTCCTGATATCAGAACCACTTTACCACTAGAATCAGGCCTATCTTCAAGAAGGGTCATGGTTGCACCAGACATCTGTTCAATCAATTACGTAATAAAATTTCTGAAAAACAAAAGGAGGTAGAGGAATTAAGAAGCTCATTTTGTGGCAGCAGTGAGTGCACCTCGCTTATCTGAGCAAGCTTGCTTCCTGATTTTGTAATTAGGCTTGAAACAGCATCCTCTGGTATAACCACCTCAAGGGTACTCTTGGTAACGAGAGAAGCACTAAATCTGCCAGAAAACATGATGTAAAATATAGAAAAAAGGTAATCAGAACAGGAGAACAAAGTAATCGACTTTTACCGTTTCAAACTACTTTGCCTTCCACTATCATTAATGCAGTTTTGCTCCTGTTCCAACGGCACACTCGCACCGAGTGCAACATCCTGCAGTGAGAAATTGCAAATATTTTAGGAATAAAATGTAAGACGCCACAAATTGTAAGAAACTACTCTACAAGAAAGAAGAAAAAACCTCTAAGGAATTATTTGGTTTATTTTAGACAGCAAATGTGTTATGAAATTGATGATTCTGTTACACAATGCAATTTAGAGTGTTTTCAGAGCGATTGTAGTAGGGGGTAAGAGACTCAAGCCCACTCATGAGCCAGCTCAAGTACGACTTGATAAGTGGCATGTGAACCGAGCTCGATGACATAACGAGCCAAGCTCAAGCCAACATCAACTCAACTCGTTAGTTGGCTTGTTTAAAAAATAATTAATAAAAAATATACTTAAAATATATTAAAATTTAAAAAAATCCTTTAAATTATTAAAAATATTTAAAAACTGATATTTTACATTTAATATCAAGTCATTTCTTATTAATTATTCTTAAATGCTCATTTTATTTGTCATTTAATTATAACATTAGCTTAAATTTATATTTTTTCTCTCTTTCATGCTAAATAAACCGGCTCACGAATTCATAGAATTAAGCTCAAGCTCGAGCTTGATTAAATTAACCATTCTCAAGCTCAAGCCGAGGGTGACTCGAGCTCGACTCGATTCGTTTACACCCCCTAGATTGTAGATTTTAAAACTAATATTAATTTCTAAAAATGATGGAACTAGCCCAACTTTATCATTTTTCAAAACATAATATCTAATTTCAAGCAACCAAAAGGCAGCATAAAAAAATATAAAATAGTATAGTTTAAGCTCCATATTATGCCATCTCTAACATGAAGAAACAGTAAGAAAAAATATCATATCATTTGGTTTTCTTAAATTTCTATATCCAAACTTAAGTTTCAAAGAGTATCAAAAGAAGTGGTATTGCCATTACAAGGGAAAAAAATGAGTAGAGCGAGATAGTGGAGATAAAAATATTAAGCTCGTGTACTGTTTTGGGATGTGGGTTATAGTATCACAACCTTTATCAGGTTGAGCTTACCAATTTATATCATTTGGAGAGCTTTAGCTAATTTCACCAAGATAATAATGTCACTCAGTAATCAGAAAATTTTTCATGAGCGATAACAGGGAGAATCATGATAAGAAAAATTTTTTACGACAGTTAATGTTTTTAGCCATGGCTACTGATTTACGTTTATATATATAGACTTATGTATATATAAAGCATAAAAAAAATTTAGTCTTCACGAATGTTTTCTACACACAAAAGTAATTCATCAAATCATCCCCAAAGTAAGAATAAAAGTCTATCTCTTTTAAGATAAACCCCATATCATAAATTCTGCAAAGAGAAAAGTGTAAAAATAGTCCCTTGACTTCTTTTTGTCAGGGGTCATTTTAGTTTCAAAGTTTATAAAAGTGTCAATTTAATCTCCAGAATTTATTAAAAGGGACTAAAATATACCTCCCTATAAACTATTTCAACGAGGGAGGACTATTTCAGCCCATATTAAAATAGTCTCAGGGATTAATTTGACACTTTTATAGACTCTGGGACTAAAATTATCCCACGTTTAATATGAAAAATTGAATCAATAGTAAATGATAAACGACTCTATGATTTCGTCTTTAGGGTCACACACCCCATTTGAGCCAAAAACAAAACAAAGAGAGCAAGAGTGGGACACTAAGAAGATGAAAGGAAAAGGAAATCTTGTGTGTGTCCTAACTAATCAAAAGAAGGAAAAGGCAAAGGAGGAGGAGAAAATTTTCTATGTGAAGGCAGAGGGTTATGATCGGCTTCACGACGTGGTAGAAGGAAGTAGAATAAGCTACTAGTGTGCTTGAGAGACTTCACCTATGCGAAGGAGGCTCATTAGCAACGTCGAGCAGAAAGGAACACTAGTCGAGTGGCTCCAATGTGAAGAATAATAGAAGGGAGGAGAAGAGACGCTCGTGTATCTTAAAGAGAAGGACATTCTTGCCCTAGTCAAGCAAAGAGGAAGAAGAATTGAAGGAATTAGGGTTGTGAGTGTTATGTATGAGGGAAGAGGAAGAACTACATATTCGAGGACAAGATTACGTGTGCAGGAGTCATCTTGCGCTAGACAGGCCAAAACTGAGCTTTATGAAAGCAAGAAGAGGGACTTCGTGCGAGTTAAGGGAGAATAGGACCAGCAGTGGATTAAAGTATGTTGGGGTATAAGCTTTTAAATTAAATTAATTAAATATGTTATGATATTAACATTAATGTTTTATTAGTTTAAAACATAAAAAAAAATAAGTGGAAGGTTTTGTGGGAAGGATTATCGATCCGAGCAAATTTTGGTTAGGTAAAAGTTTGGGTGTTTTATTTATATAAGATACAACAACTATTTTTTATCCCACTAAGTAGGTCAGCAATATGAATCTTTTTACTCCAGTGAGCCCTGTTGAGCGCCACATTTTCATTTAATTCTAATAGATTAAAATCAATTTTTATACAATATGCCCAAGTCTTTTTAGATCTACCTCCCTTTCTTAAAATAAGTTGAATCTAAAACATCTACTCTCCTAACTGGATTATTAGATGATCGATCTTTAATGTAACCAAACCATCTAAGACAACTCTCTCTAATCTTATTTGCAAATGAAGCTACAACAACCCTTTCACGGATATAATTGTTTCACATTTTATCTCTAAGTGACAATCCACTCATCCATTATAGCATTCTCATCTCAGTAATACTTAACTTTATTTTATGTTTCTCTTTTAAAGGCCAACAATCTGCGCCATAAAACATTGCAGGTCTCACCACCATCTTATAAAATTTCCCTTCAAGTCTAAGCGATACTTTTCTATTACACAATAGGCCTGCTGCATTCCTCCACTTCAACCAACCAACCTGAATTCTATTAATAACATCGCCATCTATATCACCATCACTTTGAACAATAGACCCAAGATATCTAAAATGATCATATATTTTAATGATTTAATCACTCATAATTACAACTCTGCCACTAGAGCTACTACTATTAAAATTATATTCCATATATTCAATTTTAGATCTACTCAAATGAAGGCCTTTAGACTCCAATGTAGACCTCCATAATTTAAGTTTTTTCAAAACTCCTTCTCCAGTCTTATCCACAAGAAGGATATCATCAGCGAAAAGCACACCTATGTACATACTCCTATATATGTCCAATAAGAGCATCCATAACTAAAGTAAAAAAGATACGGGCTTAAAGTTGATCCCTAATGTAATCCAACAAAAATAATAAAATACTTGGACAATCCTCCCTTTGTTCAAACACAAGTAACAACTCTAGTATACATATCTTAAATGACTTAAATATAAGTCATATCAACAACTTTCTTTTCTAGAACCCTCCAAAGATCTTCATTTGGAACCTTATCGTAAGCTTCTTATAAATCAATAAAAATCATATGTAGATCATTCTTACTCTCTCCGTACATCTCTAGCAAACCTCTCAATAAATGTATAGCTTCCATAGTAGACTTGTCTCATAAAAATTCAAACTAATTATGAGAAATCTTTGTATCACGTCTTAACTTATGTTCAATTACCCTCTGATAATTTTAAAGTACGACACATTAACTTAATTCCTCTATGATTTGCACACTCTTGTGCATCCCTTTTATTCTTAAAAATGAGAACCAAAATACTCTTCATCCACTCATCAGGCATCTTTTTAATTTTTAAAATAATATAAAGAGTTCGATAAGCCAAGAAATGCCCAAATCTCCTAGATATTTTCACACATCAATAGGAAAATCATTAGATTTAACTAATTTTTAACCCTTGGTTTTCTTTAAAGCTTCATCAACTTCCTTTTTATTAATGCAATGGTAAAAATAAAAAGTTTTATTATTATTAACAATATCAAGATCACTAAAGACAGATGAATTTTCAGAAACTTCATAAAATAATTTATCAAAATAAAAATAGCTCACCCCCATATTTTAGAATATCTTCCTCTAAAAAAATAATTTTTTTTTTATTTTCATCTTAAGACACTTTAATTAAATGTTTATTTTTCTTTTCTCTTTGTTTGGCTAGGTTATACATATATTTGCCATCATCATTAATAGCTAATCTATTATAAAAATCACTAAAATAATAATTCTCAGCGTCACAATTTGTTATTTTAGCTCCTTACAGACCATCTTATATTTTTCTCAGATTTCTAAGCTTTTACATTTAAATCAATTTTTATAATACTTCTTATATTATATCTTTTCTAGCACATTATTATTCCAACACCAATTATTTTTATTTATAAATTTTATTTTTTAATCTCCAAGCACATCTTTTGTTACTTGTTTAATAGTGTTTGTTATTTTATCTTACATAAAATTAGCTTCTTCATAACATCCTAAATGTTGAAATTTTAAAGTTTACTCATAAAAATAATTTTATTTATCTTTTAGGTGCCCTGATCTAATTTTATGAAATTATTTCATTATATTATTTATCTTATAACTTTTCATCTTAAAATCTAGAACAAATAATCGATGGTACTTAAATTTTCACTTGAAATGGCCTTACAATCTTTACATTCTCGTTGATCTCTTTTCTTATAAGAAAATAAATCCATTCTTATAAGTAATAATATGCTCATCTCTTTATTTATATAAAATATTTTGCTTAATTAAATAGATGTTATTAAATATGATCTAACAAATTTAATCAGTGGTTAAAGAAAATATGATTTAACAATTTAGGACTTTTGATAATGGCTTGGGAAAAAAAGTCTGAGTCAAAGAGAAGTGATAGTAAAAGAAACTAAGCAGATGATTAAACATGTAAGGAGGTCTTTAAAGAATTAAGGTGAGTAATTGCTTTCTTATAGGTAGTAAATTAATGATTTATTTAAAAGTTACATTTTACGAATAAAAGTCTATAATAACACTGATAAAAAAAAATGAACTGACAATATTATTTTAAAAACAAATATATTATTTTGAATGTTTGAAAGATGTCTTACAAATAGGACAAAAATATTTGAAATATGAAGGTGCA